GCAATATGGATGAAACTGGAGGTCATTATATATAAAGTGAAATAAGCCAGGCACAGAAACGGAAACTTCACATGTTCTCACTTACTTGTGGGATCTAAAAATTAAAACAACTGAATTCATGGACAAACATAGACAGAAAAATGGCTACCAGAGGCTGGGAAGGGTAGTGAGTGGTGTGGGGGAAGTGAGGATTGTTAATGGGTATAAAAATATAGTTAGATAATCAGTAAGACATAGTATTTGATAGCACAACAGGGTCTACAGTCAATAATTCATTGTACATTTTAAAATAACTAAAAGACAGCTAGGCGTGGTGGCTCGTATCTATAATCCAGCACTTTGGGAGGCCAAGGCAGGCAGATCACTTGAGGTCAGGAGTTCGAGACCAGCCTGGCCAACATGGTGAAATCCCGTCTCTACTAAAAATACAAAATTTAGCTGGGCATGGTGGCGGGCACCTGTAATCCCAGCTACTCAGGAGGCTGAGGCAGGAGAATCACTTGAACCAAGGAGGCAGAGGTTGCAGTGAGCTGAGATCACACCACTGCACTCCAGCCTGGGCGACAAAGGAAGACTCCATCTCAAAATAAAATAAAATAAAATAAAATAACAAAAATAATGTAACTGGACTGTTTGTTAACACAAAGAATGGATAAATGCTTGAGGTGATGGATATCCCATTTACCTTGATGGGATTATTATACATTATATGCCTATATCAAAATAGCTCATGTACCTCATAAATATCTATGTCTACTATGTACTCAGAAGAATTAAAAATAAAAATAAATTTGTAAAGATAAATCAAGCAGTTCAAAAGAACAGTTCCATTAGAACTTTGTGCAGAATTACTTTAGAGTATAAATGTATGTGGGAATACAGGATAACTTTACAATATTCACCCATCCATCCTAGAATCATACCTTTCTTTTAGTCAATTATTATTTTCTATCTCTACAAAAGGATTAATGTTTCCTGCATTAGGACATTTAAAATTTTTGTTTAGGTTATTTCTAAGCATTTCATAGGGTTGTATTGCTCATATGATTATGAATTTTGAATACAGCTACCATTTCTCACGGCTAAAAACCTTCAGTTCCTTCCATTTATCCTTATTTTTAGAGACCACGGTTTTCTCTTATATCCTGTCACCATTTCTAGATGGACTCCTAGTCACTCGTCTCTAGTTAATAAAACCCAAATCCCTCTAGACTGATTCTGATTGTCCTGGAGTAGAATTAGCTCTCTTTCTCTGGAAACAATACTCTTTTTTGGCGGGGGGAGAGGAAGTCTCCCTCTGTCGCCCAGGCTGGAGTGCATTGGCACGATCTCTGCTTACGGCAACCTCCGCCTCCCAGGTTCAAGCAACTATCCTGCCTCAGCCTCCCGAGTAGCTGGGATTACAGGCATGCGCCACCATGCCCAGCTATTTTTTGTATTTTCAGTAGAGATGAGGCTTCACCATGTTAGCTAGGCTGGTCTCGAACTCCTGACCTCAGGTGATCCACCCTCCTTGGCCTCCCAAAGTGCTGGGATTACAGGTGTGAGCCACCACGCCTGGCCAGAAACAATAATCTTTATATTACTTAGAACTGTGTCACCATCTTTGGCAACTCTATCATTCTGATAACTTATTTTGGCAATGAATTCCATATTGTTAGTAGCCTGCTTCTAAGGAAGAAATTCACTTCCAAGCGAAGGAAATGAGACAAAAGGTTGATGCCTAAAGGGATTTCCTGTCCTTATCCATGCCGCATGGACCACAACTATGCTAAACCTAAAGTATAAATAAATAAAGTGAGTGAGCTATTTACTGAAAAGTGTTATGGCATAAGCTGGGGAACACCACTTTCTGAGTCTACAATGCTTTCTTACGGCATATGGGATATGCTCTGAACCATAGACGGTACTTGCCTACACCGAGTACCAGATGGAACGCAAGCATTTGGGAACAAAGAAGCTTTTTAAGAAGTTTTTGCTTTCAACCTTTGTGACTGTAAGTGTTGTTAAATGGAAGACCTTAGAAATAAGAAAGGGACAATTCTACTAGGGACAGGAGCCACCTAGCTACTTATATCACTAAAGTAAAACACAGAGCAGCATACAGAGTGCTGACTAAATCTATGATTGACCTGAATTATCCAGAAGAAATAAGGTTACTTTTAAAAAGGAGTATGATTAACACCTAGAGGTATTAATTTCTATTACTGGGCATGGCAAAGTGACCTCTAAAGAAAGTCCAGTCAAGAAATTAATAAAAAATGACCTTGGCCAGGCGCAGTGGCTCATGCCTGTAATCCCAGCACTTTGGGAGGCCGAGGTGGGCACGAGGTCAAGAGATGGAGATCATCCTGGCCAACATGGTGAAACTCCATCTCTACTAAAAATACAAAAATTAGCTGGGCATGGTGGTGCACACTTATAGTCCCAGCTACTTGGGAGGCTGAGGCAAGAGAATCCTTGAACCTGGGAGGTGCAGGTTGTAGTGAGCCAAGATCACGCCACTGCACTCCAGCCTGGAGATGGAGCGAGACTCCGTCTCAAAAAAAAAAAAAAAAAAAAAAAAAAGACCTCACCCTTAGTCTGAGACAACTTAGGAATATTTGTACCACTCCACCAGGCAAAAAGAAATAAGAAAAAAAAAAAAAAAAGCTGTAGCTTCCAATTCTATTTGGTCATTGCTGTAGTTATTGTTAGAATCTGATTTATTAATTTTCTTTCTCCATTGGTGTATATGAAGCTTGACAGCAATGGCTGAATCTGCCACGCAGCTCACAGGTTGGAGAAAATTAACAGCAACGATTGGACAGAATTACAATGGACCCAGAGCAGAAATGACTATCACATGGAGATGGATCTGAGACAAATAAAGAACTTTTTGAAGTTTTTTGAAGTCCTCAAAAACTTTGTCTGGATGTAGTAGTCTTAAGGTTACACTGGACTGCCTGTCTAGGGGAAGAAGTGAATACATAGCAAATAATGGCTGCTTCCGGGAAAGGAAAAAAGCACTAGAAAGGGGTAGAGGAACTTGTTAATTCAGAGTAATGGGTAAGCAGTCATGTAGTTAACATGCAATTCTTTGTACCTTAAAATGTTTTGTACCAAAAAAAAAAAAAAACCTCATAAAATTTTACTTTTGACCCACAGTGTTGAAAATAATAATTAGTAAACTAAATAATATTAATTCTTTGATAAAAAGTTTATATGAACCATAAATCATAGCCTCTATAAATTGATCCATTTGAGGACAGCAGAAGTTTAAAACATGCTTTTTTTTTTTTTTGGAGACGGAGTCTCTCTCTATCGCCTAGGCTGAAGTACAGTGGCACGATCTCGGCTCACTGCAAACTCTGCCTCCCGGGTTCATGCCATTCTCCTGCCTCAGCCTCCCAAGTAGCTGGGACTACAGGCGCCCACCAAAATGCCCGGCTATTTTGTGTGTGTGTGTGTGTGTATTTTTAGTACAGATGAGGTTTCATCGTGTTAGCCAAGATGGTCTTGATCTCCTGACCTTGTGATCTGCCCGCCTCAGCCTCCCAAAGTGCTGGGATTACAGGTGTGAGCTACTGCATGCTGCTTTTATAGCTGTTTCTTCTCTTGTGTTTCTGCCACTACCATGAGAACACCACACTCTAGGATAGTTATTGACCCATTAGCCTGAGTCTCAGAAAGAAGTATCCGGAACAGACCCAAACCATTTCTGCAGCTTACAGCCAGCCCAGCCAAAGTCCAACTGACCCATAAGCCTGTGAGTAAGAAAAACAAATGTCTGCTGTTACAAACCATGGAGATTTTTTAGGTTGTTTGTTGTACTGTATCACTGTAACAACAGGTAACCAACACATAAAGGTGTTCTTTGTGATGATTTATTAAACTATACATATATATATATTTGGTATGCTTTAATTTCACAAGAAAAATGTTCAAGAATTATAACCATCTTAGTATATAAATGCACTTACTTAAATTCAATGCAATTTAAATGCTGAACCAAACATTTTTCTTTACATTTAGGTATATTCTATCTATATGTGTAGATGGACAAGTTTTTTGTGTAAGTAGAGAAACTTAAAATGTACTTTGAGTAGATTTGTCCAAAATAGTAAATATTTTAAAAATTAGTAAAGTTTCCATCTTCATTTGGGGAAGAATGGAAACTTAATTGTTAATTTTCCTGCTACTTACCCAAAAAAGAAAATAATATACAATTTGCTCTAATTCTAAATGTTATACGGTAAAAGTACTATCAAAATATCACTGAAACTATAGCATATAAAACACTCTAAATGTTCACCTTATGGTAAAGACTGCTACCTATTCACCAAAATCCATTTCTTCTTCATTTTGGAAAACACAGCTAAACCACATTCCTGAAAGTGATTTGGGTTACTTTCAGACCTGGCCTGTAAACATCTCCTATATATGCTCCTCCATGCTTTCTGTTCCTTCCAGCTGACCACGAAGGTAAATTCAACATAACCTTGGGTTACGTATTTTAAAGACAACAGAGCAAGAAGTCAACCTGGGTCTCTGGTGATTGCTTTATAAGCAAGAGATAAACTGCTATTGTGTTTGCACTATCATATGCTTATGCATCTATTTGTTATAGTATTTAGTATATACATACTCTATATACACACTATATAGTAATAACATTACTATAATACAAGATAATTTATCTGCCCTTTTAAAAGCAGACCTCAATTACTTTCAAGTTGTTATGAATTCCTTGCATTTTTATTGCAAATATGAGACAAAAATAAGTTTTAACCACAAACGGCATGAGTTCTACATGTTAACTCTGCTAGAAATTAAGATAAAAATATAGTAAATCACATTCTGTTGACAGCTATGCAAATAAAAGACAGATATAATCATATGGACCCTAATTCTTAAATTAAAATTAGGTTTTCTGACTAGAAAGGCACAACTACAAATTTCTAACATAATTACACAAAAGAGCTGGTCTAACAATCTAAAATGAAATCACATTCTCTTACCATCTGTGCCACGAGAAAAAGTAACCTGCTGGACTGAAGATGATGAGGCAAACTTGACAGGAGCTTTGCGTAGTTTCTGGTTACCAGGCTCTGTAATTTCATGTCCACGATCTTCAGCATTAATAAAAATCTCAGATGAAAATAGGGTCTTTTCTGGACTTTCTGTTGTTATCTGAGTGACTGCATCAGATGACAGTTTTTCAGAGAAAGCAGAAAGTGGAGTCTTTATCTTCTTGGGTAATCTAACCAAAAAAGAGAAAGAATACAGCAGGTTATCTCCTTGGCCTATTAGAAACGGAAATCTCTTTCCAAAAGTGGTTTCAGGGAATATTTAAGTAGCTATAGGAATATTTTGTGGACACATCAACGTCAAATGTTATTAAGGTAAAATTTCTGCAGTACCCTTTATTTTGTTTAATACAATGTTATCACACATTTACTTTTATCTTAAAACCTACTTTTAATTTAGAATGTTAAATTATATAAGTTAGTTGAGGAAATGGTATTTTTCAGCTGAATTGAAAATACATTTTTTTAAATTACTAGATGTCCACTATAAATTAGGGGACTGTGCTAAATACACACAGCGTACAAAGATAAACAAGAAACAGACCATTCCATCAAGGAGTTCTGGGAGAACCAGGAGTTTTCAAGGTTGTAGTTATATCTTGAGATCATAGGGAATTAACATTAAAACAGAGTGGAGCAAGTAAATAACTGAATACATAAATAATTGGAAAGAAGCAGCAAATTTTGCTTAAGAAGAGGTCCAGATAACAGATGTGGATACCTCCCACCAAAGAAGGTTAAGCTTAATCTTCCCCTCCTCCTTTGTGTATGCACTGAAATGAGTGACTGGATTTCAAAACATAGAGTATAAGAAGGGAAAAATAGTAACTTATTTCCATGGTGGAGACACCTAGCAAGCACTGCCTTATTCAAGTGATCAGTTAACATCAGCAGTGATGATGTGGATACCACGTATGCAACCTAGGCAATGCCATTCCAGACACAGGAATGGGCAATTTCACAATGAAGACACAAAAGCAATTGCAACGAAAGCAAAAGCTGACAAATGGGATCTCATTAAATGTAAGAGCTTCTGCACAGCAAAAGAAAAATTATCAACAGAGTAAACAGACAACCTACAGAATGGAAGAAAGTATTTGCAAACTATGCATCTGATAAAGGTTTAGTATCCAGCATTTATAAGCAACCTAGTGGGCAAAGGATATGAACAGACATTTTTTAAAAGATATATATGTGGCCACCACGCATAAGAAAAAAGCTTAATATCAATGATTACATAAATGCAAATCAAAACCACAATAAGATACCATTTCACACCAATCAGAATGGCTGTTATAAAAAAGTCAAAATATAACAGATGCTGTCAAGGTTGCAGAGAAAAGGGAGTGGCTGTACACTGTTTGTGGGAGTGTAAATTAGTTCAACCACTGTAGAAAGCAGTGTGGCAATTCCTCAGAGAGCTAAAGACAAAACTACCATTTGACTCAGCAATCCATTGCTGTGTACATACCCTAAGAAATATAAATCATTCTACCATAAAGACGCATGCACACAAATGTTCATTATAGTACTATTCACAATAACAAAGACATGAATCAACTTAAATGCCCCATAAATGACAAACTGGATAAAGAAAATGTGGTACATTTACACCATGGAATACTATGCAGCCATATAAAAGAACAAGATCATGTCTTCTGCAGAATATGGATGGAGCTGCAGGTCATTATCCTTAGCAAACTAATGCAGGAACAGAAAATCAAATACTGCATCCTCACATTTATAAGTGGGAGCTAAATGATGAGAAGTCATGGATACAGAGAGGGGAACAATAGACACTGGGGCCTACTTGAGGGTGGAGGGACCGGGGAGAGAAACAGAAAAAAAAACACTACTGGGTACTAGGCTTAGTACCTGGGTGGTGACATAACCTGTAAAACAAACCCCCATGACACGAGTTTACCTATAGAACAAACTGGAACATGTATCTCCTGAACCTAAAAGTTTAAAAATAAAAAAATAGGTCGGGCGCAGTAGCTCATGCCTGTAATCCCAGTATTTTGGGAGGCCAAGGTGGGTGGATCACCTGAGGTCAAGCCTGGCCAACAGGGTGAAACCCCGTCTCTACTAATAATACAAAAATTAGACAGGCATGGTGGTGCATGCCTGTAATCCCAGCTACTTGGAAGGCTGAGGCAGGAGAATTGCCTGAACACAGGGGGCAGGGGTTTCAGTGAGCCGAGATCGCGCCATTGCACTCCAACTTGGGCGACAAGAGCGAAACTCTGTCTCCAAAAAAATAAAAATAAAAATAAAAATAAAATGAAAAAAAAAAAGATGTTAACAACAGGAGAAGCTAGGAGAGAGGTATAAGGAACTCTATTATATGTGTATCTTTTCTGTAACTCTAAAATTACTTGAAAATAAGGCCTGGCATAGTGATTCATACCTATGATCCCAGTACTTTGGGAGGCTGAGGCAAGAGGATCACTTGAGCCCAGGAGTTAAGTGACCACCCTGGGCAATGTGGCAAGACCATCTCTACAAAACATAAAAAAATAGGCACAGTGGCATGCACCTATAGTCCCAGCAACTGAGGAGACTGAGACAGAAGGATTGCTTGAGACCAAAAGTTTGAGGCAGCAGTGAGCCATGACTGTACCACTGCACTCCAGAGCCTGGGTAACAGAGCAAGACCTTGTCTCTGTAAGGAAAAAAAAAAAAAGGAATAAAACTTTCAAAAAATCACTTGAAAATAAAGTTTCAAGAAGAGAATAATGTTGTATTGTATTAGAGTAATATCTAGAATATATCACAAAAGTAGAACTTTTGAGTCTATACTATATGCCTACCATTCACTAATTGAAAAGGACAGTTATGAGAAAAGAAACAAAAATGTCAATTCCCCTTATGAACATAAATACAAAAATCCTAAACAAAATGTTAGACAACAAAATGTAGCACATGTGTGTGTATGCTGTGTGCTTGCTCTCATTTTACACACACATACATTTGTGTGTAGTTGAATCTCTACCATGATAGTTTACCCCAGGAATACAAGATGAGTTAACATTAAAAAAAAAAAAAAAAAAAGTGATTAACCACCTACCTCAACAGAATGAAGGAGAAACACACATGACCATATCAATACAGGCAGAGACAGCATTTAATAAAACTCAGTAATTATGCATGACAAAAACTCACAGCAAAGAGAAACTACAAAAAACCCTAAAGCAATCATTGTGTTTACTAGTAGAATGTTGAAAATATTGCCTGTGAGATCAGGAACAAAATAAGGATGCCAACTCTTACCACTTCTATTCAATATTTTAGTAAGGTGTTAAATGGTATTAGCAGTAAGGCAGGAAAAAAGAAGAGGTATGGATAAGAAAGAAAGAATAGCTACTTTTCATATTTGATATAATTGTGTACATAGAAAAATCCAAAAGAATCTACATGTAACTTACTAGGATGTAACTTTTTAGAAAATTTGCCAGATACAAGATCAAAATTTTAAGTCCATTAGATTTTTCTTTATCATAGAAGTTATAAAATTAAAATCTAAAAAGTAGGTCATAAAAATAGTACCAAAAATATCAAATACCTAATAAAGTATAATAAAAGATGCAAGAACTTTATATAGAATACTATTAATATATTATAGAGAGAAGTTAAGGGTGATCTAAATGGGTCTTCCATTTCCAAGTAGGATGAGGTAGGGAGCCATATACCATCACTCCTACTTTAACAAACAAACAAAATGAATGAATCATAAAAATCATATTTTTTTAAAAAAGTCTTACAGCTACAGAAACAATGAGGAAATATTACCAATTAACATGCTAGAGAGAGGAATTTGGTGATTCTAGGCAAGGGTTTGGTGCAGGTAGACATAATCTACTGACAAAGAGAAATCACCGAGCTTTTGAAGAACATGAAGGCTGTCATGATGGTGTGACATGATGGAATCTAGCAGGATATCCATCTGATCTCCCCCACAAGACATTTCCTGAGTGTTGGGGTGGTACGGGAGGCTGGGCCTCAGTCAGAGTAATAGACTGAAATCTCATTCATACTCATGGCACTATAAGAGATCAAGTTCCACTAGATGGAGAGGCCTGGGACAAACACACATCAGCTCTCCTCCTTAAAACATTTGCCAAATGTTGTACCTGCTTAAGGCAGGGGGCTTAATAACTAATGCTTGAGGAAGAGAACTTTTAAAGGTAAGGAATTAAAGACTCACTACACTCAGTCAAAAGTCAGAAGGGCCAACCCCAAGAAAGGGGCTGAGTGAGAAAAACAGTAAAATTATTTGCAAGAGTACTAATGAAATGAATTTCCCTTGAGAAAGTGTAACTGCAACAAATACTTGACTCGTGTCCTCCTTACAACATTTACCATATTCTACAGCTGTGAGGGCAAAGAGTTTAAAGAGCTGAATTCAAACATCTGAAAGCCTGAACTGAGCTCTTACAATATTTAATTGTTGAAAAACCAAAGACCTGTCAGGCTTAAAGTAAAATTTTTTTTTTTAATTTCATGTCTTTGCTATTGTGAATAGCAATAATATGATGAAAATTGATTATATGTGTTTTTTTCAGTAGAATGATTTATTTTGTTTTGGGTATATACCCAGTAATGGGGCCGTTGAGTTGAATGGCAGTTCTGTTTTAAGCTCTTTAAGGAATCTCCACAGTTTTCCCCAGTGGCTGAACTATGTTCCCACCAACACTATACAAGCCTTCCCTTTCTTCTGCAACCTCACCAACATCTGTTATTTGTTTACTTTTTATAAGTAGCCATTCTGATTAACATGAGATGGTATCTCATTGTGGTTTTGATTTGCACTTCTTGAATGATTAGTGATGTGGAGCATTTTTTCATATATTTGTTGGCCGCAAGTATGTCTTCTTTTGAGAAGTGTCTGTTCATGTCCTTTGCCCATTTTTAAAATATGGTTGTTTTTTGCTTGTTGAACTGTTTAAGTCCCTTACAGATTCTGGATATTAGACCTTTGTCGCATGCACAGTTTGCAAATATTTTGTCCCATTCTGTAGGTTGTTCACTTACTATGCTGATGGTTTCTTTTGTTGTGAAGAAGTTTTTTATTACTGACTCAATTTCAGAACTCATTGGTCTGTTCATGATTTCCATTTCTTCCTGGCTCAATCTTGGGAGGTTGTATATTTCTAGGAATTTATCCATTTCT